AAGGGTTGCAGAGGGGAAGCCGTCAGTCTTTTTTTTTTTTTTTTTTTTAAAGATTTTATTTATTTGACACAGAGAGACACAGCGAGAGAGGGAACACAAGCAGGGGGAGTGGGAGAGGGAGAAGCAGGCTTCCCGCCGAGCGGGGAGCCCGATGCGGGGCTCGATCCCAGGACCCTGAGATCATGACCTGAGCCGAAGGCAGACGCTTAACGACTGAGCCACCCAGGCGCCCCTGAGCTTTCTCTTAATAGGTTATATACTCAGTGAGTAGTGTCACCTGTCTGAAATGTCAATACAACGAAAAACTCCAACAAAACTAAAGGAAAGGGGCTCAGTTTAGTCATTTTTCATAATTAAGCTATTTCTGTGCAGAGCTGAACCACTTAAATATTTGTTCACTTAGTGAGGTGTAGTGGTTCAAGTCAGGAGTCCTGACATCACACTGCCTGGTTTCAAAGCCAATCTTCCACTTACTAGCTGAGTGGACCCTGGGCAATTACGTCTCCGTTTTGAGCTTTAGGTTCTTTATCGGCTAAGTCAGCATGATTTCTACCTCAGTTTCTATGAACGTTAAATGAGGTGACATATGCAGTAGACATAGCACAATGTCTGGCATGTGGTAACTGCACAATACATATCAGCTGTTACTAATCTATTTCAGTTAAATGTGGGAGCCACTGGTCAGCTCTCAATGTTGTGAAAAATACAAGGATCAACTTGGAATACAGTTTCAGCCCTCAGGAGAAGCAAGTGAAAGGATGACAGAGATGAAAAGTAGAATATATTTATACATGAGAGAGAAAGGGAAGAGCAAAGTGCCAGCACTGTGCAAGTGAGAAGGGGTCACTTCTGCCAAAGAAGTTCCAAGAAAGATAACAAAGAGGAAGTCCTTTTTGTGAACTGAAAGAAGAATGAGAAGGAAGTAATTAGACTTCTCAGTAGAAGAGAGGAGGCTATTCTAGGAAAGAAGAATGTTGTTGGCAAAGGACATGTGAAACTGTGGGCTATGTTTGGGGGAGGCTGGCCCATCCTGTCTGGGTTGGATTTTGAACATAAAGATGACTTGTTCCATCAGAGAAAGATAATTATCATATGGTTTCACTCCTATGTGGAATATAAGGAATAGCTCCAAGGATCATAGAGAAAGGCAGGGAAAACTGAGTGGGAAGAAATCAGAGAGGCGGATAAACGAAGAGAGACTCTTGACTCCGGGAAACAAACTGAGGCTTGTGGAAAGGGAGGTGGGTGGCGGGATGGGATAATTGGGTGATGGGCATGTGATGTGATGAGCACTGGGTGTTATACGCAACTAATGAATCATTGAACATTGCATGAAAAACTAATGATGTATTATATGTTGGCTAATAGAATTTAGAAATAAAAAAAGGAAAACCAAAAGACTTATGCTGTATATGTTTGGAAATGCGGGTCAGGACCTGAGCCTGATTTGGAACGTAATAAGGAAACATAGGATACTTACGACAGCCATTGTAAAAATGGTATTCAAAGAATGTGTAGGAAATCAGTCCTGAGTTTTGTTGATGAAACACAATGAATTTCTAAATTATAATCAAGCCACTTTTGGTCAATTCAGGTATGTCATTGTGTTTTATGCCTGTGTCTCTTTGTATTCGTTGACATGCGTTTTGTGTTTTTTTTTGCCTTATTTTTTCCTTATACAGGTGTGATCTCCATCCCTTTGTACATCCCTCACACGCTGTTTGATTGGGACTTTGGAAATGGACTCTGTGCATTTTGGCTCATTGTTGACTATCTTTTGTGTACAGCATCTGTGTATAACATTGTTCTCATCAGCTATGATCGGTACCAGTCAGTCTCAAATGCTGTAAGTCAAAACACTCACTCACCTTCTTTAGAAGGTGACATACTTGTGCATTTTGCATCCCCAAGCAGAAATTGTTATAAGTGTAATTTTTTGTTTAGTTGGCAAACCTTAGAGGAGCCTGATTATCCTTCTGTTATTTGGTGCTAAGTTTTCATTGGCCCTTAGTGAACAATTTCTGTGTGTGATTTGGCTAAGTCACTCACTCCCCTACGTGCCACTAGCGTGGGAAGGCTGTCAGAGAAAATCCAAGGCAAGTTGTCGGAAGTGGTATACTGAGTCCACAGTAGATTGGATATACATGTGAGTCACAGTAGACTTGTCGAGTCCATTCCTTACACAAACTAAGACCTGAATATTTTCCTCAGGTGGGACCTGGTGGGCAAGTAGAAAGATGCCCAGACTTTTGAATGTCATGAGAAAATCAACTGTGAATGGCCAAAGGAGAAAAGACAGTATACAGAGAAGCTGTAGGTTAGACAGTGGGACCAGCCTGGGAGATCAAGTCCCAGTGCCAGTGTAGGATCCATGCCAAGAAAGTCTGAATGGACCCAAGATTTAGAATCTTGGTTTCAACAAGTTAGTGACAGTTCTTAAGCAAGCTAAATTTATCAGCAATAGAACAAGGGGAAAAACAAGGCAGATACTGTCAGTATGGGGCAGTAATCTGAAGTCTTCGAGACCTAGATGGGAAACCTCTTTCACTCCTGAGTCCCAGGACCCACATCTTTGGGGGATGCGACTGTGTGCAAGGGATTTTGCTAAGTGCTGGGATACAGAAATGAAACATCAGTCTCCACTTTTGAGGAGCATAATAGGCTAATGTGGAGACAGATCCAGAAACAGATGGGTTCAGTACCATGGACTAGGTGTGGTGTTGGAGGTATTGAGAGGCCAGGGACAGCTTTGGCTTGGGAGGACTGAGCAGCTCGGAGCAGAAGGGTTGGGAGGGTATATTGCAGAAGGCAAAGATCAACTGCAGGAACAAAGATGAGGCTCAAATAAGATAGAAATTTATTTTCCTCTCAACATTCCAGGAAAGCCTTTCTCCAGGAACTCATCCAGGGACCTAGGCTAACAGGGTGGTTCTACATCTTCTAGGGCAGGGGTCAGCAAACTTTTTCTATAAAGGAACCTATGGTCTCTGTTGCAACTGCTCAAATCTGCCATTATGGCACAGAAAGAGCCATACATAATATGTTAAAGAAAAAAGGAATGATTCGTTCATTGTGTTCCAATAAAAATGTATTTATCCAAACAGGTGGTGGGCCACATTTGTCTCAGGGACTGTAGTTTGCTGACCCCTGCTCTAGGTCATTATTCTCCTCTGCATGGTCAAGACCAGGTTGCTGCCACTCCAGGTTCTAGAAAGGATGGGTAAAGGGCAGAAGTCCAGGGCAAGGGGTTTTCTTTTAACCAAGTAGTGCAGAATCATACAATCATTTCCACTCACATTTTACTGGTGACGTTTAGTCACATGGTCTCCCATCTCACTGCAACAAAAGCTGGGAAATGTGGTCTCTAGCTGAGCTGCCGTATTGTCAGAAAGAAGGGGGGAAAGAATGTGTTGGGACATCCAGACACTTGGCCTCGGGTACGTCATTGGCACCAGAGTCCACTGCAGTTGGTACTAGACAAACTATGGAGAGAGCACAGATCAGCTTGGATGAGCAATTCAGATGCCTATAAGCTCATGCTTTTCAAATTGCAGCTTATGATCCGTTATTGAGTCATGAAGTCAGTTCAGTGGGTTGTGACCACCTTTTTTTAAAACAAAAAAATACAGAAAAAAACATAGTAAAACAGAATAAAAATAGAGTACAAAATATCAGAGTGCCAGGTACGTAATAAATGTAAGTATCATTTTATGAGTACTTCTGTCTGTGCACTTAGTGATGATATAAAATGTATTTCTTAGTTTGAGTTCGTCAAAATGTTCGAAAAAGAGTGCTCTAATTCATAATCTTTCCCATTGGTGCTGAAACATTTACTTTTTTTTTCTGGGTTAGCATTTCTTTTTAGTCTTCACTGGGTGTTCCTAGTTAGTGTTTGCTAGGACATCCCTTTGCTGGATGTCCGAGCCCTTGGGTCTACCTCAGTTGTGTGCAAAGGTAAGAGAGAGCTTGTACAGTTGGGAAAAATGTGTAGAAGTCACACAGACATGAGGACTGATGTCCAGAGAGAAAATGAGTGCGTTTGTTTCCCAGTCTTGCCCTGAGGAACTCCTCCTGGCCACGCAGGCTCTAAATTTGGTGAGGGTTGGGTCGGCTGGATCCAAGATCCTTAGTATATAAGCACGGAGTCAAGTGTGTAACAAGAGCTCCACACCCCAGCGCATGGATGCTTGCAAAAGGGGCGCTCAGGCAGCTCTTGGGCCTTTGTTGGCGAAGAGTTCCAAGGCAGCAGTGTGAGCCAGGAAGCCCTCAAAGACCACTGAAGCTTGTAGGAAGTGGTTGTGGGGAAGCCGAGCTCTTGCTGTAGTTCAACGTGGAGAGACAGTATGATAAGTCAGGATCATGGGCTGGGCCTGGGAAATGGAAATCTGACAATAGTTTGGAAAAGGAAGGCCGAGTGCAGATGGCAGTGTGTGATTACAGTGCTCAGACACATTTTCTGGAGGGGCAGATTTCTGTGTGGCTGAAGCAAGAGTAGGTCGGGGAAAGTAGCACAGTGTAGTTGGAAGGAGTAGGAATTCAAATGTATGCAGAATTAAGATAGTAAGTGGAGAGAGTTTTTTTTTTTTTTTTTTTTTTTTCTGAAGATGAAGAGGGAAGCTTGAGAATAAAACGAGACCATGAGAAATATAGTTGCTGGGGGCTGGCTAGATTCCTAGGACTGCTGTATTTAAGTACTGCACATTGGGTGGTTTAAGACCACAGAAACTTATTCTCTGGAATACATTTAATGTTTGGAGACCTGAAGTCCCAAATCAAGGTGGAGGCAGGGCGATGCTCTCTCTGAGGCCTCTAGGGCTGCCTGTTCCATGCCTTTCTCTTAGCTTCTAATATTATCAGCCATCCTTGGCATTCCTTGGCGGTCCTTGCCTCGTAGATATGTCACTACAGTCTCTGCTTCCATTGATATAGGGTATTCTCCCTGTGTGTTTGTGTCTTTCTCATAAGGACAACAGTCATATTGGATTAGGGCTTACTGAATATGACCTTATCTTAACTTGATTATATCTGCAAAGACCCTACTTGCAAATGAGGGCATGCACACAGGTACCAGGACTTAGGACTTCAACCTATCTCTTTGGAGGACACAATTCAACCTGCAACAGGCACTTAGGATGGCTCTGCAATGCCATCTCATTATTAACACCAGCAAGTTCCGGGGGCTGCCCTCCCTTATAAAAGAAACCCGATTGACAGAGTGTTTGGATATCTTATTGGGGCTGGAAAGGAAGCAAGATAAGAAGCAATATCCTGAATAACGAACATATTCTGTCATGGGTGGAGTACTTGGCCACTGATTGATGTCAGGAAGGCCACTCCAACTGGCTTGGGCCTGGATTCAAGCAATGCTTGAGCTATCTGTCAAAAATGCTACCCGAAGATGAAGACATGGGCATCATCTTCTCAATTCCCTTGGATGTCCATTATCCCATTTGACCTTATGCATAATAGAAAAGAGATCACTTTCCAGCATATTGCATCACATCATTACAAAGGCTGAACAGAGCAATTAAAAAACTAAATTCAGTTTTATGACCATCTGGGTATTGTTACCATCTTCATAATCATTAGATTTAGTGCAAGAGGTGTATTAATTAGTGGCATGAGAAGCAGAAGGCAAAAAAGCGTATTGTATATGGGAACTTGTGGTCAGCACCATATGCATTTTAGCTTAGCCTCAGAAATATCAGTAATTTGGAGGAAAAAAAAACCCACTTCCCTGCAGTTTTTAAAAATAACTTTTTTTAAAAGCCTGCTTCCTCTTACCTCCAGCCAGTCGGTGAGCCCTTCCCAGCCTGCACAATCCATCAAAGAAAGACAGGGCTGGGCATTGTTGTACTGTTTAATAAAAATGAGAAAACACTGTAGCACAAGATTTAAAAACTCACAGAGAAAATAGTACATGAGCGATGGTGGAAAGAGAGGCATGTTCCAGTTTCGTGGGGGAAATCATTTCCTTTCCCTTGAGTGAGGAAATCAGAGAAATATGTAATATATGAGCTGGAAGGAACCTTATTGACCTAAAAGAAGCTTAGGGACATTGTCTGTTCCAGATCCCCTTAAAAAAATTCCTGGTTCATGTGTTCATCCCTCATATAGGGTGGGTGACCTTTTAAGCTTCTTATAGAAGATATTTTTAAAGATTTCAGGATCTATTGAAGATCATGGGTCCTGAGAACTGAGAGCAATCCTTACTCCTAGAATCTCATTTTCCCTTATAGAAGCCAGTCTTTGTGACCAAGCAGACCTAGAACATTCTTTACTCTTTAAAAAAGACTGTGGTACTTGCCATGGCTGTGTCTCTCGAAGTGGCTGACCACCACAGCTTTGGCACCATTTTTGTTGAGTGGAAATATTTATAGAAAGAAATGATTTGGTAATGCTCAGTAACATTATGCTATTTCTCCATAGCAGGTTTAGACTTTTTTGGGGTGGGGGTCATCTTCTTGGGAGTGATGTAAGAATTCTGTCTTTTTGAGGCCACCGTGAAATCTCAGGATAAACTACAGAGTAGATTCTTCCTGAATATTAGAATCAAGAAAGCCAGTGGCTTTCAAACTTGTTTGACCCTGGGAGAAATGCATTCGATAGTGGAGTTCAGTACATGTGTTTCTCTCTCTCTCTCTCTCTATGTATATCTACATTCCCAAAGCCAAAGTTTCATCAAACAATACATACCCTTACGATTGTGAGGCACTCTGACCTTGAGCGCTCTATTCCATTCAAAGAAAAATGCTGATCATGACCCAGCTGGCAGATTGTGAAACACTGTGAAAAGGGGCACCCCGTTTCAGCTGTTTTCCGATTCAGATTAATGTCAGTGGAGTCGGAAACATGGCGTTCTTATTTTAGATATTGATCTTAACATTTACTAGAATGTCAGAGGTTTAACCTTGAAGATTACAGATTCCGTCTGGAAGGTCTTGGAGAAAGCCTGCATCGGCAACTGAACCCTCTGTCCTGGCCCATATCATGTGACCCAGCGCCAGGTAGCTTCCCTACCTCTTGCATACCCCTGAAACGACCGAGGGCCTGTGATATGCCTTCTGCAACAAACATATGTTCGTTATATTGAAATAATTTATTTGGTCTTTTTTAGGTATCTTACAGAGCTCGACACACTGGGATCTTGAAGATCGTGGCTCTGATGATGGCTGTCTGGGTACTGGCCTTCTTAGTGCATGGGCCAATAATTCTAATTTCAGAGTCTTGGAAGAATTCCAGTTGGAGAGTCTTGGAGGAGAAGGCTTGTGAACCTGGATTTTTTACCATATGGTACATCCTCGCCATCTCGTCTTTCTTTGAATTCCTGGTCCCAGTCTTTGCAGTGGCCTATTTCAACATGTACATTTACTGGAGCCTGTGGAAGCGTGGCAATCTCAGCCGGTGGCAAAGCCAGCCCACACTCCCTTCTCCTGTCTCTCCCAGTAACTGGGGATCCTCACTCAGGGGTGGACTGTTTTCAAGAACATCTCTTCCTGAACTGAAGGAAACAGCACCATCTACTCCTTTGAAAAGACATGAAAGAAAGAGCAGTCTCTTGTTCTCTTTAAGAGCCCAGATGAATGGCAGTATAATTGCTTCCAAAATGGCTTCCCTCGCCCATTCTGATTCCCTGTGTCTTCACCAAAGAGAACATATTGAACTATTCAGAGCCAGGAAATTAGCCAAGTCACTGGCCATTCTCTTAGGTGTTTTTGCCTTTTGCTGGGCTCCCTATTCTCTGTTCACAATCATTCGTTCAATTTACCCACTAGACCAGCGTCCTCAAATAGTTGGGTATGAAATCACGTTTTGGCTTCAATGGCTCAATTCCTTTGTCAATCCTTTCCTGTATCCGTTGTGTCACAGGCATTTCCAGAAGGCTTTCTCGAAAATACTTCGTATGAGAAAGCAATCCATATCATCACAAAATCAGTCAATGTCCTCTTAAAGATAACTTTATCCTTTGTAAAAATTTTAGTCTTAATCTCACCTACAGGAATTTGATCTGACTTTCAGTTTGCCCTTTCCACTCTGCCAGGAAAGTCCATAAAATTGTAACACTTGAAAACTTAAAAAAAAAAAAAAATCGAAGCCTGGAAGTCAAGGGAAAATTATCCTGGTGAATAATAATAGTACAATTAGAAATAGATGACAATGTTTTTGTAAACTCATAGCCGCAAATGCACTGTACTTTTCTTACTCATTGCCGCTTCCTTGTCTTTTAGATCTTGATATCGCATTGATGGTGAAAGTTAAGAGTTCTTGTTTTCTTTCCAAGTTCGGTGTTTGCTATAGCCTTAAGTGAATTTCCCTTTTTATTTTATAGTGAGGAAAAATTGTAAAGTTTTAAAGCCATTTTTCCTAAAGTGTACAATGGAAAAGGGGGCTATATTGCCCTCTTTGCTGGAGGTGGGCGTTATGATCAGTGGGCAGGTGTGTTGAGGTTTGAGTTGTCAGAAGCAGGGAGTGAGGGTGTGCCCAGATAGAAAAGTGGAAGGCATGTGTACTTCCGGACTCTGTGTTCCTGATCCCAGGAAAGGAGGAAGTGTGGGGAAGGAAGAGCAGGTAACTGCAGCTCTCAGAATCCTCCAGGGCCGTTATCTGGGAGGCTCGGCAATCACAGGATGAGCGAGTAAGGGACGGACGAGATCATCCTCTGGTTGAAAGGATGGCTTTCCTTTTTTCCTTCCCGCCCTCTTCTTCCAACTTCCGCATTGGCTAAGACTTCTGTGAGAAAATATGGAAGAAAAGAGAAAGGCTAAGAGATAACAAAAGGACTATGTGATTCAACTTGATGTACCTGGTATAACATTCACAGAACTAGTGGATGTCAATAATTATTAATAAAATATACTTCTGTATTTATTTGATGTCTTTAACTTGTATGCAGCGCTCAGAGCGATGCCTTTGTATGCAGTTAATGTAGGTTATACCTTGCTGATGAGTCACATTTTCTTAGTCTGGTGACATTTTTTTCTTTTTGCCATTATGAATTTTTCTTCTTCCTCCCCCTCCCCCACCTCCTTCCCCTTGTGTTCTTTGCCTGTCTTTGTCATAACAGTTCATTTTGATTTTGGTTCATTTCCTCTCTCCTACAAGTTTTTATTAGCGTTTGTTTTATAACTTCTCAGAGTTCCTATACAGTTTAGTCATTTTCATATTTCTTAGACCTTTCAAATCTTGGTTAAATTCAAACACTAAAATACGAAAATCCTTTAAGTACATAAATGATTAGATATGCCCATAATTTTTTTTTAATTTTTTATTGTTATGTTAATCACCATATATTACATCATTAGTTTTTGATGCAGTGTTCCATGATTCATTGTTTGTTCATAACACCCAGTGCTCCATGCAGAACGTGCCCTCCTCAATACCCATCACCAGGCTAACCCATCCCCCCACCCCCCTACCCTCTAGAACCCTCAGTTTGTTTTTCAGAGTCCATCATCTCTCATGGTTCGTCTCCCCCTCTGACATACTCCCCTTTTCTTCCTCTCCTGTTATCTTCTTCTTTTCCTTTTTTCTTAAAATATGTTGCATTATTTGTTTCAGAAGTACAGATCTGTGATTCAACAGTCTTGCACAATTCACAGCGCTCACCGTAGCACATCCTCTCCCCAATGTCTATCACCCAGCCATCCCATCCCTCCCACCCCCAACCACTCCAGTAACACTCAGTTTGTTTCCTGAGATTAAGAATTCCTCATATCAGTGAGGTCATGTGATACATGTCTTTCTCTGATTGACTTATTTCACTCAGCATAACACCCTCCAGGTCCATCCACGTCGTTGCAAATGGCAAGATCTCATTCCTTTTGATGGCTGCATAATATTCCATTGTGTATATATACCACATCTTCTTTATCCATTCATCTGTCGATGGGCATCTTGGCTCTTTCCACAGTTTGGCTATTGTGGACATTGCTGCTATAAACATTGGGGTACACGTACCCCTTCGGGTCCCTACATTTGTATCTTTGTGGTAAATACCCAGTAGTGCAATTGCTGGATCGAACGGTAGCTCTAATTTCAACTGTTTGAGGAACCTCCATACTGTTTTCCAGAGGGGTTGCACCAGCTTGCATTCCCACCAACAGTGTAGGAGGGTTCCCCTTTCTCCACATCCCCGCCAACATCTGTCGTTCCCTGACTTGTTAATTTTAGCCATTCTGACGGGTGTGAGGTGGTATCTCATTGAGGTTTTGATTTGGATTTCCCTGATGCCGAGTGATGTTGAGCACTTTTTCATGTGCCTGTTGGCCATTTGGATGTCTTCTCTGGAGAAATGTCTGTTCATGTCTTCTGTATGCCCATAATTTTTATGTGTACTTATGCCTTGCATTAAGTCCAAAATAGGAGATACACAATTAACATTCAATAGTAATCTTGAAAATTCGAGAAATAAACCCTCATAAATATGCAAGTTTTTATAAAGTTACTTGTCAGCTATTGTTTTTGACATTTATAAATTAGTAGTTGTGGATTTCATGTGATCACTGGAGGCTCGAATATTCATTGAATGGTGTGGCTCCATGAAAACTTTTTCTGATTGAACCCTAGCGGAAACATGCCTAAATATTCATATGTATTTTCTAAAATATAGAAAATATAATATATATTGTATTTCATTCAAAGATGTCATCAGTGTAAAACATACTGTTACTTTATTTATCACTATAAAAGAAAATGCTGCAAATTGTCTATGAAACAATACTTTAAAAATCACATTGCTAGGAAGTCTCATTCTGATTTCAGAGTTGTTGAAAGGTGAGCAATATGTGTCTCGGAAGTGATAAAGTATGATACATTTATGATGAATGAACAGAACAAGGCTAATCCTCTGTGAAATGAGTTTGAATAAATAAATACTTTTGATGGAAAATTCACATATTCATTCAACGAACGTTTATTAGGGGTCCATCATGTGTTAGTTACTAGTATACTGTAAAGACGCCTATGAACCTTGTTGATTTAGTTCCCTTGCGGGTAGGAATTTTACTTTGGGGTTCTCTTACTACGATGCTAGGCACCCCATAGGTGCTCAGTAGATATTTACAGAAAAAGCATGCATTAGGCATTTTCCTTAAAAATAGAATATAAATCCTAGGTTTAAAATCCAAGCCTTTTAAATTTGCCCTGGAGGAACTTTAACATATGTTTTTCATTATAAGAAAAGTAATATGTACTAATCATAAAAAGAAAAGACAGTAATAAAATAATTCCTATACCCAAGAAACAGACATAATTATTAGTTTGGTATAGGTGTTTCCAGGGGGAAAAATAACATAATTCCATTTTTTAGAAACACGTGTTTGTATATCTAAACTTCTCACAATCTCCTTGGGTGAATTTTGCCCTAAAATGAAGGCTCCTATTCTAGTATGAGTAATTACTGTATCCTTCCCACAAATGGAGCTAGCTTATAAATACTTATTAAATTTTAAATAAAAAATAATTCATTTCAAATTGATTTAAAATACTTCAATACTTAATATTTAAGTATTTTTATTTTTATTTTTTTAAGTATTTTTAAATACATATTTTAAAAAAATTTAAATACTTACTAGCTCATCTTAAATCCAGACCCAAAACCACTGGTATAATTGTCAGAACATTCCTTAGAATGTGTGTTCCTAAGTGTTGACTTTGGTTGGCCCGTTTAGAAATAGATTCAAAAAGAGTGAAGACAGATTTAGGGATATAAATGCCACTTATGACAGACACTTCAGGTCTAGTCTTTTATTTTTAAAGATTTTTATTATTTATTTGACAGAGAGAGAGAGAGTGAGCACACAAGCAGGGGGAGCAGCAGAGGGAGAGGGAGAAGCAGACTCTCTCCTGAGCAGGAAGCCTGACTAGGGGCTCAATCTCAGGACCCTGCGATCATGACCTGAGTCAAAGGCAGACACTTAACCCACTGAGCCACCCAGGTGCCCCCAAGTCTAGTCTTTTTATGAATCATGAGGGTTTTGATATAAGTAGCAGAACAATCATAACTGTTCTACAGGAGAGCTTTTTGTGGCTGTTTGGTAACTATTTCTTGCAGCAAGGATCTTGGCATTTGAAGAAATTATTTTTCACATTATAATTTCAGAAAAAGAAATTCTAGCATACAAAGTAAACTTTTGGTTCTAACGATTGTTACCAGTCAGGGTTGAGTCAAGAAAACAGAAGCCATGTTAATAGACCGAAGGAATTTAATACACAGAACTGGGTAAATATTGGAAAGCTAAATGAGCAGGAAGTAGATGTTGACAGAGTCCAGACATAATAACTTAAACAAGCAACTACCATCTTCAGGAAGACAGAAATGAGAGAGAATCAAAGAGAATCTGGGATCCCAGACAACCCATGCTTGGAGCTCTGACTGGTCCTCATGGCCAATAGTTAAGGCCTGGAGGGCCAAGGGGTGGGGCCAACTGGCGCTCAGAGTTCATGGGTGTGGGGCGGGATACTTACCTTTGTCATCTCCATTTACCTGTGGTTCCGCCCAGGCATGGTGCTTGCAACTCCTGCTCTATATGCAAAAAGGGAGAGTGATTCATTAAACTAGTTTAGTGAGTCCCACAGAAAGTACGAGCATGGCCTTTTCTGTTTGAAGTCTTCCATTTGGGGGCTCTTTCAGTTAGGATTCCTTTGGTTACAAGTGACAGAAACACAATTGGAACCACCTGCGCCGAAGTGAGCCTCTTGGTTCCTGTTGCCAAAGAGCAGAAAGACAATGGTGGGAGACAGTCCAGTGACTCTGTGACAACTTCATTTTATCCTGTAGCTTCTCCACAAGACTGGGATAATGAATGTTCATGTTTTCCATCAGATAGGGAAAGGGCCTCTTCTAGTAACTGTGAGGAAAAAAAAAATCTTGGAAAATATTCATCAAGTGCCCAGTGGTTATCTTGTGTTGGTAACTTGGGACCCATCCCTGCCGCGGAGAGTAGATACTAGCACTGCCCTCTTGGGTCAGGTCCTCCTCCAGACTAATCACGGGCAGGGAGGTAGGGTCAGCCCATTCAAACCATGTGACCTCGAGAGAGAGAGACCATTTCCTTAAATGAAGAGAGGTACGGTTGCCCAAAGAAGAGGGAAGAGATAATAAAAGTCAACTCCAAGGGCTATTCAAAAATTGAGGATGTCGTCAAGATCTGATTGTCTTCCCTACATATTGTGAAAGGCTGCCCAAATGGACACAATTTTCTATCCCTTCCTGTAGCCTCACCCTTTGCCACGTGACTTTGTAGCTCTTCTCACCAAGAGGGACTTGCTGTGGCCAATAAACTGGCTAATAGGCAGTGGAAGGGATGCCATGTCAGTGTCAAGCCTAGGTCTCAAGTGGCCTGTGCACATTTGTTCTACCTCTCAGAACCTTGCTCAGCTGCCAGTGCACACACCCAGGCCAGACCACCGAAGGATGAGGTTCCACATGGAGCAGAATCAAGCTGCGGTAGCTGAGCCCGTCTTAGAGAAGCTGCCCCCCCGCCCTCAAGGCTGACTCAGCAGCCGAATGGAGGTGCCTGGGCAAATGCAGGCTAACCAAGACCGGCTGAAAGAAGGCTCGTGCGGCCCAAACCACTCCGCTCACCCAGAGACTACTGAGCAATGGCAAGACACTGCATTTGGGGAGTGGTTTGTATTCAGCAATAGCTAACAGACATGGCAAGTGCTTTCCCTCCTGTATTGATATCAAGAGAGATGTACATATTTACATCACTCATTCTTTTTGGGGAACTGAAACCAGAGACATAAAAATTATTATGTTAGAGGACAGACTTTTTTTTAAGGCCACACCTACTTCCCCATGGAAACCCAGTTATTGCAAAATGACTTCATAGCAAGGATAAGTGATTTTGCAACATAACAAACCA